TCTAAGGGTGAGTTAAGACTTCTGAATGAAACAAGTATAAAAACAGGTAAAGACCACAAAGGGAGGCTACATTTAGGGATGAATAGGACTATGTAATAAATGTGAACTTGAGGAGAAATTGTCAGCATTCAAAGAAGGCAGTTGCAGATGATTAAAGGTTTGAAAGAAAAAGTCATCTACGGTATTGCATTATGGCAGTGAGCAGAAATTGCAAAAACATCTGCTCAGTTGCTCAGGAAACCGGTTTGCAGGAAAAAAATTAGAGATTGTGAGTATGCTTTGACTATGGGTCAGATATTTTATGCATACTTTCCCTTGCAGTCTTCATGACAAGAACACAAGTGCTTATAAGTGCTACCTTGGGGAGACTAAGGCTCAAGACACCAGCCACCTTGCCCAAAGTCACAGAGCGAGTCACGGCCGGAAGGTAAGGGAGATGTGTGTTTGTCAAACCCATTTTTTTTAAAAAAACAAAAGCCTAACCAAATTCCCTATATTACCTTGCCATTCGAAAGAAACAAATTCAGAAGAGAGCTTAGGTAGAATGCAGCTGGAGAAAGGTTCCTGCAGATTTTACTGTTTGTGAAAGTCATATGTTGGTGGGGATGACAGCCAGATTGCAGAGGTGAAGGAAACAGAGAAAGAGAGTAGCAGAGGAAATCAGAGATAGTGTGCATAGGCCACGCCTATATAAGAATTTTGGGAACAAAAAGGCAGAGCAGATTCTCAATAACTTTTTAATGCTGAGTTTTCTTAATGCATTTTTAAATCAAGAAAGACAGTCAAGTGATGGTTTCAACAACGAAAGTGTTCATTCTCTAGGATGGTTAGATCTAAAAGCTGTAAATACTCAACTGCTGTTTGTTAAATCATTCTCCTATATTGGATAATTCCCAAGAGTTTTGAAAAGCAGATGAGCCGAACTAGTACTTAATTTCCCAATAATCTGTTGGTCTCTGTTGGAAGAACCTTCTATTCTGTGTTTTCTTTAATTCTGTCAACAGTGACAGCATTGACACAGCCATTCCAGACACTAACAAACTTTTGAGAGAAACTTTGTTTCTTATGAAGTCTGGTAAAGAAAAAAATTATATAGGATTTTTTTTTTTTTTTTAGTAAGAAAAAAAAAGGAAGGCATCATTTAATTTTGGTTTTGAAAAAAAATGTTCTTACTGATTTCAGGTGGAAGTGTCTGGCTGACATTCCCAGAGCTAACTGACTTTTCAGTAATTTGCTATTAGTACTGACTATACTTCTGCTGATGAATATTTCAGGGAGCAGGAGGAAGATGTTAGGTCTCCATCTGGACGGCTGCCAAGGCTAAATCGCTCACCTTGACGCTGTGCTCACCTCCAGTGCCACCTTCTCACCGCCTGAGGCCGACTTTGTCTTGATATCCCATCATTAACTTCAATTCAACAAGTGTGAAGTCAGACTGTGTCTTTCTTTTCTTTTCTTTTTTGAGTTGGAGTTGCACTCGGTCACCCAGAGTGGAGTGCAGTGGCCGCTCCTGGCCCCCGCAGCCTCGTCCGGCGATCCTTCCGCCTCAACTTTCCAAGTAGCTGGAACTACAGGCGCGCGCTACCACGCCCGGCTGATTTTTTGATTTATTGTAGAGATGAGGTCTCGCTGCCCAGGCGGGTCTCGAACCTGCGGGCTCAGGCAATCCACTCACCTCAGCCTCCCAAAGGCGTGGGATTCCAGGCTGAGCCACCGAGCCCGGCTCAGACTTCGTCTTTCATTCCTCACATTCAGACTTTGTCTTTCATTCTTCACATTCTTCCTGCTGACTTCCTTATTTTTGCTAACAGGGCCAGTGATCTGGTTACCTACACTCAGACTTTCTTTTTTTTTTTTTTGAGTTGGTATCTCACTCTGTCACCCAGACTGGAGGACAGTGACACAGTCTCAGCCACTGCAACCTCAACCTGCTGGGCTCCAGCGATCCTTCCGCCTCAGCCTTCCAAGTAGCTGGAACTACAGGCACAGGCCACCATGCCCGGCTACTTTTTTGATTTACTGTAGAGACGAGGTCTCGCCAAGTTGCCCGGACTGGTCTCAAACCCCTGGGCTCAGGCAATCCTCTCGCCTGCGCCTCCCAAAGTGCTAGGATGATCCAGGCTTGAGCCACAGCACCCAGGCTACACTCAGACTTTCAGTGGCACTCATAAGCCCTCCCATGTACTGAGGGCTATCCATCTGGGATTAGGCTGTCAAGAGTTTAACAAACACATGCACTGAGTTCTCACCAAAATTCTGTGAGGTGGGTACCGCTGTTATACTTGATTTACAACAGTGATGCTGCGGTTTAGTGAAATGGGTCATTTATTTAAGGTCACTTAACTAGTACCTAGGACAGCAGGACTCAGACCTAGGTCTACAAACATCCAGAACTTGAAGCTTTCCGCCATCCTGTCATAACGTGTCACTTCTGACTCCCCCTTCCCCCTGGCCTAATTACCCAGAGCTTGTCCCTATAATATCCCACACACTGTCCTCTCCCTTCCATTTCCAATGCCACTGCCTCGTTCAGGCTTGTTACTGCTCACCCTCCCAGTGGTCTTCCAGCTCTTTTCCAACATATTTGTCTTCTTAGAGGGTCACTTAACACTTTTCATAATGAAAAGCCTTCAATTTGAGCATCATTTTCTCACCCCTACATTCACCGCGTATCCTTCCCATCTTCGTTCCAATTACTTATCTTCAGGAACACTGTGTTTCATCCAGTCTGGACTTCCTGTGCCCCTCTGTTTGTTAAACTTCTGCTCATCGCCTCCACAGTCTAGATTTTTTTTTTTTTTTGAGTTGGAGTCTTACTTTCTGTTGCCCAGGCTGGAGTGTAGTGGCACGCTCACGGTCACCATAGCTTCAACCTGCTGGGCTCAGGCGATCCTTCCGTCTCAGCCTTCCAAGTAGCTGGAATGACAGACGTATCGCCATCACACCAGGCTAGTTTTTGTGGTTTATTGTCGAGATGAGCCCTCACCAAGTTGCCCAGGCTGGTCTCGAGCACGCCGAGCTCAACAGTCCCCTCGCCTCAGCCTCCCAAAGTGCCGGGATTACAGGCTGAGCTACCGCGCCCAGCCCACAGTCTAGAATAAATTGCTGCTTCCCTCCAGAAGCCTTCTATGGCTCCCTTAATCATATAAATACATTCTGGACTTCTCTTAGGACAACATATTCTAGCCTGTCCTCTGGTCACTTGTGCCCTTCTCTTCTCAACCCTAGAGGATCCTGGTCCCTCAAATGTTGAACTGTGTGCTGCTGTTATCCGTGTAACTGGGAGTTACGTGGCACAGTGCGGTGCACACGATTCTTGCTTTAAAAGTAACAGTGAATTAAATTTTAGTGTCGGGTGCTGTCAGGATGTGTGGTTCATAAAGAACGGTACTTTAGGGACAGCTAAGGAGAGGGAGAACTGCCAGGGACGTCCAGGGTGTTTCACAGTAAAACAATTCCTTCAAATTCACAGTGTCTTTATTTTATTTTTTATTTTTATTTTTGAGTTGGAGTCCCACTCTGTCACCCAGACTGGAGTGCAGTGGCCACTCCCGGCCACCGCAGCCTCGACCTGCTGGGCTCTGGTGATCCTTCCACTTCAGCCTTCTGAGTAGCTGGAATTACAGGCATGCGCTACCACACCTGGCTGATTTTTTGATTTATTGTAGAGATGAGGTCTCGCCAAGTTGGCCAGGCGGGTCTCGAACCCACGGGCTCAGGCAATCCACTCACCTCGGCCTCCCAAAGCACGAGGATTACAGGCTGAGCCACCGAGCCCGGCCACAGTGTCTTTAAAAGAATGTATGATAAGACTCTATGTGATAACTAGCATTCTCCTGTTAGTTGCAATTAGTGGGTTTCACGGTGTATTCCCAGATGGCTATATAATTGCTAGAATTCCTCATTGACTATCTGAACTACAGTACTTGGCAACAGGCTGGTAAACTGCTTTCTCTTTTGTCTTTTAGCTGTCATCATGTTTTAAAGTTCAGATTCCCACACAGCCCAGGGCAGGTGGTAAGAAATTATCTCATGGATTAGAATTTAGAGCTCTTTAAAAGAAAAAGTCGTTTTGCAATAGACCTTCTGCACCAAAGAAGTTTCTTCATTCTGATTTATGCACGCAAAATTGTTACATGATCACCCCTGCTGTTATTCCAAGAAGGGAGAGATTTTCAAATGTATCGTGGAAATATAAAGCTTGTTAACTTGCTAACTTGTAATCTAATCCAGACCAAAACTCACTTGTGGAGACTGACAAATATTGGTTGTGATAAATTATTACACAAACATATTCCCACTGACACACCAACAGGAGAAGGTAAGGAAAATCGACAAATTCATTTTGAAAAGCCACTTGAAAAGCCAAAAGCAGCAGAAGAAATGGGATTTAAAGTATTTATTTCTACATGTCATTTTGAGGAGAAGTAAAACATCAAAACATTGTAAAATTCTGAAGCGTTGACTGTTTTTCCATTTGTGAAACTCTTTGATATGCACGACATGTCATTTTTTCCTTAAGACGATAGCATGGCTAATTTTCTCCATATGTGTACAATTTGTCTTTGACCTTTAACAAATGTCCTCCAGGCAGTCCACTTAACATCCAAGAGCAATACCACAGCCTCGTCTTACACGCACACAAAGCCTTGAAAGCTCCATAAAAATAAATGATCCGTGGTACAAGATACATCAACCAGCAGAATAATAAGCTGTTTCAGCCCAGTAAATCTCAGTGCCCATCCATTCAAGCCCTCACTGGGTCACTTTAGTATCAAATTTATATGAGCACGATGGCAAATACACATGTTTTATTTGTTAGGCTGTCAGCTATCTATTTTGTGTTAAGAGTTTGTTAGCCCAGGAAAATCTATTCAAAGGCATATCAGCAATGTATATTTAAAAGCAGTGTTTCTTTCCAAGACATGATTTTACGTGTCACAGATACATTTACTATTAAGCATCATGTATATTTAATATCACCATGTCGGCTTTAGTGCCCTAAAAAGCCTCTGTTCACGTTATAGTTTCCATTACTGAAGAGCCAACACGGGGTTCTCCCGCAACTGTGTAAGTGCAGGCAACCCACAAGAGCTTCTAGTTTTAGCTTGGGGCTCACGGGACAGCGATAATTGTTGTGAAGCCGTTCATTCTACCTCAGCAGTTTCAACTGTCAGGTACATGTAACAATAATTGCACTTAATGAATGCTGCTCAATTTATTAAGTGCAAAATGAAAACCAGTATTCTTTTATATGCGGTACTGAGGCATATTATTTATCATTTGCGTATGCCACGTTGAACATTCTACTGTCATTTATTTATTGGTCGGGGTATATAGCCACATATTTTTTAAAACTTCTCTTCATTAAAAAATAATGCAGAAGATTCTAACTGTCTTATTAAAGAGGAATTAAAATAATTAATACCAAAAGTAATATTTAATAAGAAGCTATGTCTATGGAAAACAATCCAGCAAAACCAAGACTGAGTTCCTGTTTTAGGTAAATAGGATTCTTTCTCGTGCCATCTTCCCTTCCCCCCAATCCTTATGAGAGTCTGAAAAAACCCCAAAGCTTCCAGTTATCTGAAATATTAGCATTGCTTCATTCCCAAAGTTTTTGGCAGTGAAACCACTGTGTACATAGATACAGCCTGTTTTTAAAAAGTAAGAGCTAGATTTCTTATTTTCAGTCACTCGACGTAAACCGCATAGACATTTGCAAGAGCAAAGAGAGAACAATTTCTGAAGACATAAGAGGAAAAGTTATCATTTTTAGGATCCCAAAGGCATCTGCTTCCGATGAGTATGCTCTGACCACTCAGTTGTCCAATATGAACAATCACAATTAGTTTATACCGTGGAACCATCAAGTCCTTGACCTGGGCTTTAATAACCTGGAAATGAAAAAAAAAAAAAAGGAGAGTCCTCATTTAACCACACTGAAACTAAAAAAATCTTAATCTTTGGTATAAACACAGGGGATTTAATTTAAGGAAATATCATGATGCATTGTAGACACTCTCAGAATTGCAGATCCACATTGTGATTTCTTTCAAACACTGTCCTCAAAAGATAGAATGTTCAGGAACAAAATGATAACACCAGCAATAAATCTACATTTTCTCAGGAACATGGAAAAATTGTCATCCAGAGCACAGAATTTAATGAATTATTACATTCTTTGAAAAATCTATGTTAAGATGGTTTCCCTTCAAAGAATGTTGGCATTGGCGTTAGACTGTCTTGTTCATGTCTAATTGAGAAACCATATAACTGGAGTCTCCTGTAATATGATTGATCGTGAATGTTTATTAAGAGTTTATCATAAAAAAGAAAATAGAGAAAACCTTGCTGAAATGCCAGCACTGTGGCTGATAAAAACAGAGATGGACATACAGACCACAATGTCTGTAGTTGAGGCACTCAAAGAAGCTGCCTTGGTGAAGAGAAAATAATCATTAAAATGATGTATCTTTTGCATAAAATTTTTTATAAATGGGACAGTTTTATACATTTTTACAAAATGCATTCAAATGATGCACATGATTGTTTTAGACAAAGGCTTTTATACACACACACACACACACATACACACACACTCATACAGATATATACGGAGGTGCCAAAAAATGTATAAATAGGACGTTCACAAGTGTGTATACATTTTTTTGGCACCCCCTGCATATGGAATATGACCCAACTATAAATATGCATTTTCACCATTATGGAAAACTAATTTACTTCATCAAAAAGTGGATTGTGCTTTCAGTGAATATTCTAGTTATTGTTATCACTTGGGTAAATCGCATGCCTACCTCAGAAATGGTCTTAGTCATCTGTCTGCAGAGTTCTGGCTCATATTCTTCTTCTTGTAGATAGTTAGTTAACACCTCTTTCAAAATATGATTGACAGTGGCCACAGGAAAATGTTTGGGAGGACCTGAAAATGCGCACAGAATTTCTTTCTGAGAAGTGATTTCGGATCATATTCACCCACCCCACAGGCTAATCAAGAGTGCTGAAACATGGAGAGAGTTTAATTTTCTGGGTGGCCTCAATGTAAGGAAACAAGCTGTCCTAATGCGTTTCCCGTCGGGTTCTCTGGGAGTGAACAAGAAGGCGACTGACCCACGCATTTACTCACTCCCTAAAAGTGTGTCCAGCACTGCTGGGGTTTGGCGCTGCAGGTCTCTGCCGTCCCAGCCCCGCCATGGGTGGCCCCTTCAGCCTCAGCAGCTTCTAACGGCTCTCAGCTCTGCGTGTCCTCTCCATCATCCACCAGATCTCTCTTGACATCCTCTTAGGCCCCTTAGGAGGTCCAAGGTGTGGCTCCTCCCCACCCAAGGCCCCTGCTCTCCCACGCATTGCCCCACGCGCAAGCCACTCTGCCTTGTGGGCTGTGTCTTCAGAGGGTGCTTCTTGTTCACCCTGGTGCTCTTTTCAAAGGGAACCCATTCATTCCTCACCTTGTTCGTCTGAGGAATCGTGTTTCAAGTCCAGCTCAGATGTCTTCTCCAGGTGGCCTTCCGCCTCCCCTCAGGCAAATACCATCCCTCCTTTCTCCCTCCTCCCAGGCCAGGGTCCCCGGTCTCCCTGCTCCTAGGCCACTTGATGATGGCTGAGGCATGTCTGGGTGTCTCCAGGGAAACAGTAGGCAAGATCGGAATTTATCCTCCGCAGAGTCTAACACGATGCTAAAGGCATAAAACATTTTTCACGTATGATTTCTGAACTTAGCTAGAACTTTAAAATTTGTAGATAATAATCAATGTGTATTACATATAATTGTAATGTGTATACGATGATGGATACTTTTCGTTGAGCAATTTTTCCATGGTGGCCCCTGTGATGAGCGCTTCATATGTATTGCCTTATATCATCTTCCAAGAGATTGCTGAGGTGGACCTCACTGTTATCCACACTAGGGAGACAGAGGTTTAAATGCATCAAGTGCCCTGCCTAGAACCACCAGTGGCAGAGCTGGGAGGCACACCCAGGCTTATCTGATGCTAGTGCTTATATTCGCAACCATATTTCACCCTGGTTTGGAGCAGATGCTTCGGGTAAATGTTCTTCATCCTGCCGCCCAGGAATATTACTCGCGCCACCATCCCTCTGGTCAATCCCTCATGTCATTGCATAAAAGCACATATCCCCAGGGCCTGGCATACAGAGGCTCAGTCATTATTTGTTGAATGGACAATGATGAAGGAATGAGATCAAGAGTTCTATTCAAGTCTCTTCACAGACACCAATATCTGTTCATAAGCGTCGGTTTTTAATGACTCTCAGTCAAGGTCAAGGAAACATGGCACATGGAAGTTAAAACAATTCCAGGAGCCAACAGAAGTAAGGGTGCCACCTTTCGAGGAGTGCTCATACTGGACCCTGGGCCATATGGAGGCGGCCACCTGAGAGCAGCTTGTGTCCTCCGCTGAGGGATGAACCCACAAGCAGGGAGCCAGGGAAGCAGACACAGGGGCCTCCTGCTCCGGCTCCCTCGGCCTCCCGGTGAGGCTTTCCGACGGTTGAACTTAACCAGGTCACAGCCTGTGCCTGCAGGTGGGCTAGGCCAGCTTCTTGAGGGTCAACACAAGGTGTTTTCATTTTGATGATAGAGAGATTGTTGAATTCAATTAACTCAGAGTGGGGAATGATCTGGGCATGTAAAGTGGAGCATGCAGAGTGGCAATCGGTGCTGAGAGGCTGACAGGTTCTGTCCAGGAGTGCCCGACACTAGAGATAGGTCTCGACACTTGACGAAGTAGAACTCATACGATCTCTCTCTCTCTCTCTCTCTCTCTCTCTCTCTCTTGTTCTGTCTCAATATGTGGGATCTACTTTCCATTAGGAGGGCTTCATTTTCAGGTAGGCTTTCTCAATGTGGCAGCAAAGATGGCTACCTGTAGCTCTAGTCTGGTCTGGTGCTCACAATCAGTTTCCAGAGTTGGGTACCGCTTGAATCATAGTTCCAGAAAAGGTCCTGTGGAAAGCTTATTTCACAATTTACAGGAAGTTACACTGAATATTATCCTAGGCTTTTATTCTTAGTGATTTATGGAAAAGTCCCAGAGTCAGTCACTTTCAGGAGTGAGAACATAATGAGGAAGCAATTTCAATATCTTACTTCATTTGGTTCTCACGGCATCCCTATGAAGTAGAGACTATTATCCTCATTTACAGATTAAGAGACTGAGATTCAAGGATGATAAAGACCTTGCTCAAGCATCCTTTACCTGGGATCAGCAAAACTGGTATTCAGATTCAGATATAACAGATGCCACAGCCTGTAATTCCTTCCATACTCTTCTTTCAGTAATTAATTAAGGAGAACATGTAAATGATGTTTTATTGTAAGAAATACAGCTTCCTTTTTCATTCCCTCTTTTCCTCTCATGAATTATTCTCATGTTTCATCTCATTTTTGGTAGCTGCAATTACTTACACAAATGCTATCATTTAAAGATGTGTTTAGATGATGCAAACATTATTGAATAGAATGAAAAATTAATTAAACATATAGCCAGGCTCGGTGGCTCAGCCTGTAATCCCGCGCCTTTGGGAGGCTGAGGTGAGTGGATTGCCTGAGCCCATGGGTTTGAGACCCGCCTGGGCAGGCGAGATCTCATCTCTACAATAAATCAAAAAACCAGCTGCACTCCAGCGCGCGCCTGTAATTCCAGCTACTCAGAAGGCTGAGGCGGAAGGATCGCCAGAGCCCAGCAGGTCGAGGCTGCGGTGGCCGGGAGCGGTCACTGCACTCCAGTCTGGGCGACAGAGTGAGACTCCAACTCAAAAAAAAAAAAAAATTAATTAAACACAATAGTGGTGGTGATTGATTTTTTTTTTTTTCCTCCGCTCTTCTGGCTAGTGTTGCATTGTGTACATATGGGAAAAATCTTTACCCAAGGTCCACTAAATACCTTTCACATGCAAAACGAACCCAGAAACAAGTAGAAGTACAAATACAGTTTTGATTACTAACACAATGGACAGTTGAATGCTTACAAAGTGAACTGTCAAGCATAAAAAACTTTAATCATAAAATAATAATTTATATAGACTTTTGTAAGAAAATAAGCTATTTCTAAAATTACTTTTCTAACTTGGTTCACACTCAGTACTTTTAAAACTGATAAGACAATTTACTTTGTTTACTTGAGGAAATAAGTTGTGAAAAGATGGTCTTATGAAGAAGAAACACGGGTTCACATTTCAACGAATGACTTTATCTTGAAGTCTGAATCAAACCCTTTCAGCATGCAAAGACCTGAAACCTTGGTGGTAATGGATAAACATCTCTGTTGGCAGGTTTGGCGGCTCAGCCTGTAATCTCGCATCTTGGGAGGCCAAGGTGAGTGAACTGCCTGAGCCCGCGGGTTCGAGAGATGAGGCGAGACCTCATCTCTACAATAAAAAAAACCCAAACAATTAGCTGGGCGTGGTAGCGCATGCCTGTAGTTCCAGCTACTTGGAAGGCTGAGGGGGAAAGATCGCCAGAGCCCAGCAGGTCGAGGCTGCGGTGGCCGGGAGCAGCCATTGCACTCCAGTCTGGGCGACTGAGTGAGACTCCAACTCAAAAAAAAAAAAAAAAAAAATCTCTGTCAACAGGGAACTATGAATCACAGGCACCCAATGGCCAAGTACTTTTAGATGCAAGTAGGGGAAAATCTGACCCAAACTTAGCTTGCTTGACTGAAGAGTCGAAGGATAGCCAACTGGATTTAGAACTCAAGTGACAACACCCAGATTTGGTTTTTCTCCCCTCAGTTTCAGGCTCTGTGTGGGGGCAAGATGGCAGAAGCTATCACAGCCCATGCATTCATTCAGGTTTCAGGGCTTCTCCAACAAGCCAAATGTTTCCTGAATTTAATCTCGAAGGCTTTGATTGGATTGACCATGGTTCTAAGCCATCCCAGAATCTGTCCCTGCCCTATGTATAAAGTCAGTGTCAGCTTCAACAGAATGTTATGGATCAAACACGGCAATGATGGTGGAATTTCGAAAGAAATTGAGTGCCAGAGGAGTATACAAATATATTGAATGGCAGGATCATGAGCTGTCCACCACAGGCACTGTGGAAACGCCAGTAGACTGACTAATTATGGAGCCCTGTAATCCATGAAATCTGGGAATCACTATAGAAAACTGGCTACAAGGCTTAATGGGATGGGCTGGTGGTCTATAATTTTTGGGAGGTTAACTGGCCACACATGGAATCCCCCGGGGGCCCATAGAGTCTTCCTTTGCCCGTTGGTAAGTCTCTGTGGAGTTTCCATATAGCGGTAATTATTTGTGGATTTAGATAATGGTGGGCAGGTACACATTTAGAGAAAACAAGTGGGTTTATGAGGAAACATGAATGGGAAAAGATATTTGCCAAGGACTCCACCTGGGAGTACAGGGGCAGGTGCAAAGATCTTTGTTTTCAAAGACCTGAAACCTCAGTGGTAATGGATAAACATCTCTGTCAACAGGGGATTGTGAATCATTTGCGTTTGCCTTGAGGGTTTTTTCACCTACCTATCAACAACATTGATTGGTTTTGTTGGACAAAACATCCATGCATATCTTTCATTTGACTCACATATATGAGCTAATTTTTACTCAGTGATACACATACACACACACACACACACACACACACACACACACACACACATCTCTACTCACAAATACCCAATGAGCTTCTAAATTCAGGAATATAATATATACATCAGTGCTACCCGGTGAATTCCTTGGTATTTGGGAAATACCGGTGAAACAAGTAGACAATGTATATCGCTGCCATTTTGCAGAGGAAGAAACTGAAGCATCAAGTCACTCAATGAATGAAAGTCCCGTCTATTGTGCTAGGATTGAAGAGATAATACCAGGTTATCAGATATCGTTTCTAAATAAACATCAGTTACCACATTAGAAGTTTACAATAAGGATGAGGTATTAAAGAACACACCCAACTGATAGGTATTTTCCATCTGAACTGTGAGGCGAGAGACTTCATCACGCTGGCTAGGCTCATCCATATAAGGCACAGAACTTGTAGAGCTAAAAGCAAGGGAGAAAACATTTTTTAATCGTTATTATAATAATAACAGAAAATACAATATTACTTTAAGCCGAAATGTTACAAACATAAAGTTTCCCCTGAGACCATTTCAGGTAAGTCATATGTAAATATCAGTGACGTATTTAGAGTCTAAAACATTTTAGAGACGAAAATATTAAGATAGAGAAATTATTTGGAAAGTCTCCATGCGATGGTGGAAGCCCAGTGTAGTTGCCCAGGTCACTGGATTATCCAGAAAGTGTTTCCGGGGTTGATCTGTATATATGGGGGCAACGGAGAACATGTTTCAAAAGCCATTGCCAAGAGCATCTCCACCATCGACACAAAGGCTCTTCTCAAAGTAGAAATAAGGTAGCTTTCAGCGGGTCTGGAGGGGTATGTGAAGGGGCTTGAAACATTGGGAGACAACTCTGCATATACATGGGGCATTGTCAAGAGTTCCTTATCATATGGACCTCACAAAATCCCTTTAGAATGAAAAGGAACAACGAGAAACTCTTCCACCTGGCCAAGGAAACCACAATCCACCCAAATGATCCTGAACCAGTAAGCACCGATCACTCTTTTCAACACTGAGAAAGGGCTTTGGCTTGGTGAGCAAGGCAACAGGAGCTATCCAGGTGCTAAGCAGGTGGAGGAGCAGCGAGAAGCCCAAGTGTACCCCTGGTACCACTTAATCCCACCTAGTACCCAGGAAACTCAGCTGTAACGAATGACAGTCTCAACGTCCCGCTCCCAGTTCTCTCCACCTGTGAAAATGGACGTGAAGACAGGTGCCATTTCAAAGGAGGTAGGTGCTATAATAGCGAGTGTGTGTTCAGAGTGACCACTTTTAAGCAAGCTATGTTTTTGCTTTAATTAGAAAGGAAAGAGGTATTTGGTCCTCATCTTTGAGGTTTTTTTTTTTTTCTCTCTCTCTGCAAGGAGTTTAAAATACTTAGTCCTCAGCTGTTTGGAATTAGTGAACTCCTTGTAAATTGATATTTTAAGAAAATCACAGATAATCTAATTTTTAAAGTTCTTTAATGTAATACACTTCACGTCATAAATCAAGGTTTACCTACTCATCCCGAGAAGGTGATGGAAAAAATTCTGGCTCCTTTTTTCACGATGGATTGCTGGGTGAGTGATTTAGTCTTCTTTCTTATAACACCTGCCTTCCTCAATTTTCTCCTGCCCTTTGAAGTGGCACTAACCTGTTTGGCCATACTGGCAGCAGGTGTTGTGGGCAGTATCAAAGATAATAGCTTCTGCTTAAAAGACCTCACACATTACATAAAACCCCTGATTCTAGGATAAGCCAGTCTGTCCTAGTATTATGTATGCTACTTTTAACTTTGACAAACATTTCCCATCAATGATCTCCTTCTACCTTTATAATACCCTTTGAAATAAGTAGGGTTCATTATTCTACCCATATCAGAGATGAAGAGAATGTGGCAAAGGGCTTAATGTCATACACGTAGCAAAAGCCAGACCCAGATTTTCAAATGTCCTATTTACCTCAGTGACCAAGTCCCACATATGATCATTTCTGACAGAATGAAAATAAGGCTATGACTACCTGAAATAACGAATCACTGTGATTAAAATGTACCTACAGACACGTGGAAGGTGTTGCTAAAAGCTCCATTTCTTTGGACTGAACACCATATTTTAAAATCCATAGAAAGAGAAGTAGAGGTGGTATAAAATTCAAATTAGCTGAAGATAGAAGTCTAAGGCCAAGTGTGGGGACTCACGACTGTAATCCCAGCACTTTTGGAGGCCAATGTGGGAGGATTGTTTAAGCCCAGGGGTTTGAGACCAGACTGGGCAACATAGTGAAACCTTTTCTGGGCAAAAAAAAGTAGCTGGGTGTGGTGGTTCATGAAGTCCCAGCTACCTGGGAGGCTGAGGCAGAAGGATCATTTGAACACAGAAGGGTTGATGCTGTGGTGAGCCGTGATCATGCCACTGCATTCCAGCCTGGGTGACAGAGCAAGACCCTAACTTTAAAAAAACTCGCCTGGGCAACTTGGCGAGACCTCATCTCTACAATAAATCAAACAATGAGCCGGGCGTGGTAGCGCGCCCCTGTAGTTCCGGCTACTTGGAAGGCTGAAGTGGAAGGATCGCCGGAGCCCAGCGGGTCGAGGCTGCGGTGGCCAGGAGCAGCCACTGCACTCCAGTCTGGGCGACAGAGTGAGACTCCAACTCAAAAAAAAAAAAAAAAAAAAGGCTAAGACAAAAAAGCAAATAAGAGTTCTTCTTTTCAAATGGAAAAAAAATTATTTTTTTACTTTTGTATTGACAAGGTGTCACTATGTTGCCCAGGCTGGTCTCAAACTCCTGACCTCAAGTGATATTCCCACCTCATTCCCCCCAAGTTCTGGGATTACAAGGGTGAGCCACCACACCTGACTGAAATAAGGATTAGAAGCCATCCTTATTGTTGCTTTGTTCAATGTTACTGACAATTGGTAATCAGTGCACTTAATACTATTATTGTTATGAAATCAGCAATTTTGTTATGAAATCAGCTTCACAACCCCACGGGTTGAAGATTAGTGTGGAAATAGACAGTATGCATCTTTACTTTTTTTGCCTTTTTGAAGATGATTCTGTTCAGTGTCTATTTCCACAGTAATCATGTAAACAGTGTATGCTCCTTGTAAAAAATTCAGAACATAAAAGCATAAAGAAGGTAAAATTACACAAAAATGATTAATCCTAATAGTTATCTAACCATTGTTAACATTAAAAAAAAATCCTTTCTGACATGAATTTACATATGGGATTATGTTATAGATGCTGACTTTTTTTTCACTTAAAAATGTATTGTAGATAATTTTTCTTGTCAATAAATAGTAAACAATATTTTAAATATCAAGGTAGACTTTAATATATGCCCATTCCGGATTTTATTTAACCATTTGTCTTCCAGGCCTTTGGGGTTGTTTTCAATATTCCACTATTATAAGAAAAATCATAATGAACATCGTGCCAGGGACAGCCCTTTGCTTTCCAGTGCTGCTCTCTCCTTCTTACTTGGTAGCAGAATCCTAAATTTGTGGGAATATTTCTGACCAGACTGAAGACAAGTGCTAGGTCTCTTTTCATGTGGCCACGTGGCTGATGAGCCGAGTCTGTGGAACTGTTGGGTGGAAATTCTGAGACCACTTCCTCAAAAGTAATTCAAACAATAGGAGCCTGTTTTTACCCTCCTTAGTGCCTGGGATGTGTCTATGATGGCCAGAGCTCAGCAACCATCTTGGGTCTTGAAACGACCCTGTGGATCACAGATAAGCAAGGTAGACACTACATCCCTGAACTGTCTCCTTCCAGACTTTTTTTTTTATGAAAGAGAATATAAATTTCTCTGTTTTAAGCCAACATTTAAAAAAATTATTATAAGAAGCATTAGCTATAACGGATAAAAATTCTAACTAATATAGAGTTTACTACTTGGAAGTGGAATGCTGCAAGTAATCAAACATGGAACTTGGAATTAGTTGTGATGGCATGATTCTGGCTTACTGTAGCCGTGACTGCTTGGACTCAAACGATCCTCCCATCTTAGCCTCCCAAGTGGCTGGGACCACAGGCACACACCCACCATGTCTGGCTATTTTTGTGTACACACACACACACACACACACACACACACACACATTTGTAGAGATGAGATCTCACTATGTTGCCAAACCTTGTCTTGAACTCCTGGGCTCAAGCAATCCTCCTGCATCAACCTCCCCAAAATGCTGAGATTACAGGCATGAGCCACTGCACCTGGCCAGAGATGGGACTTTGAGAAGTAAGTTTTCAATATTTTGCTGGAAACCTGATAACCCCTATCATGCAGAGGGAAAATATTTGGTTAGCCTATTGCTTTCTGCACCTTGGAAGGCTGACCTTATGTCAAGACTATAACTTCATGGAAAAAAAAAATAGAAAAATTTTACTTTTTAAATACTGCATTTATGCTATTTTTTAAAAACTGAGATCTGATAATTTCCACAATAAATGAGATGAGTTGGATAAAGGGAGAGAAAAGAGAAGAATAGATATATGTTTTTTAAAAAGATCCTTATTCCTGGAGAAAAGACAGAGATAAAATACTGAGAGACAAAAGAGATAAAATATTTAAAATGCTTGCAATTATATAATGTTACTTAAGTAACATTAAACCAGAATATAGACTTGGTAAATTTTTAAAAACAAAAGAGTTCCTATATCTTAAAATTTGGGAAATACCAATATTAGTTCAGAATACTGGCTTAGAAAGTCTTGAATATATTTTCTATCAACAAACAGCTTTAGTCAAGCCCTCTGAAATCTTTAAAGATAAACATGTAAGATGCTCAAAAAGTAAATTTATAATTTTAGCTACAAGCCCTATATACCTGGCACAACAAATTAATTTGAGATATGCCACAATGTCACAAGTGAATGAGTACAGTTGCCCATGACCACATTTTCCCTAGTTTACAACGATAACCCTTCTAGACACATGTTCTCATTGCCAAGGGAAAGGGTTTTAATTCTATTTTTTTGAATGTGAAAATATTCTTGTTGTCTATGTGTTTTATCAGCTTATTGGCATTTATAGAGAAAAAAATTCAATGGGCAAAATGTGTCTAAGAGAGTTATAAAAGTTTTAGAAAAGAAGGAAAACTATTAAGTAATACAAAAAGACTGAAAGTCTGGTGCAAACTACTGAACAGATGAACTATTATTCCAAGGAGAAGACTGACAATTTGTAAGTCAAGGAAAAGTCCAAGAATCCTTGGAATCACATGTCCACCGTTGAGGCCGGATGCAGCCTGAATGCAGAAGCAGCTGCTTTTTTATAAGCCTCCTCTGTAGTACCTGGTCAACACTGGAGAGGTCCTGTGCTAACCTGGTAAGCTCTGTTCTGATTTTTTGCAGAAGCAAAAAAATCCCCAAAAAACAAAAAAACAAAAACAAAACAAAAAAAGAGGTTGGCACATGTTTA